GATAGAATTTGCAGGTAAGGTACGCTTGAGTGAAGAGGGAGAATGGTGGGATAGCATGGATGGTAGAGAAACAGGCTTACCTTTTGCTGCTGCAGCTACTGGAGCATCATTTCCGTGTCCTTCCTCTTGTGGTTGCTATGGATACGCCTTTGCGTGGTGACTTGAGATTGATTTCCATTGCGATCAAATGATGACGTGGATTTAAAAAGAGAAAGGACAGAATGCTCTGCTTTTGGGGAGTGGCCGGTGAGCTGCCCAGAAGGCAGAGCCCAAGCACAGCCAAGGTGGCTGTGGCTTTGTTGGCTGCCTTGGCTTTTGCTGAAGTTGTGAAATGGTGCATCTCTCTCTTTAGAGCGCAGGCTCAGGGTTCCCTGTCTGCAGGGTCCTAGTGCCAGAGAATTGCTGGTTGATTCATGGGGAGGAACCAGCAGCAACTTCAGACAGGCTGTCAAGTAGGACTCCTGCTAACATAGGAAAAGTTGCAGTTCTTGAATATGGGGCTGGGGGCTTCTCTGTACCTGGTGCTGTCCTGCAAAAGTTCCTTTATTGAGGATAAGTCGGGAATATTGTGTAGATTTCCTTCCTGGCTCTTGGAGGTCTGGGCCTTTGGAGGTGGGCCTGGCAGTCACTGGGTATTCTTGGGGGAAGGGGATACTTTGGGAGGAGATGGAGTTGCATTCAGAATGAGAGTGGGCTGCAGACATTTCTGGGGAAAACAAGGAGCTGGAAAGGTAAAGAAAGTCCTTCTAGGATTTAGGCCCTATCTGTATGAGATCTGTAAGCAGATACTGGAGTAGGACTTTGGAGCAATGGGTTGTGTACCTGTCTTCTTTCTGGGTTCCTGTGTGTCTGAAACCCAACCTTCCATACTTCTAGGCCCATAGCTTCTGTTCCCCACTCAGTGAGCAAATAGCTCTTTTTTTCCTGATTCCTGAGGGACTTACATCCACACTTATCCCTTCCTTACCAGTGCTTTCAGAGATGTACAGTTTTGTCCTAGTCTGAAGAAAATCTGAATCTTGCTAGTTACTATTGTGTTTCTTTTATCTTTGTAACCAAACTACTCTATACCCAGTGCCTGATATAGTTCAGTTCAATTGTGTGGACCCTGCTATGAGACTGCCTGGGATTCAAACCAGCTTCTCTATGAGAGGGATGAGGGAAATCAGACAGCTGGGTTAGCTCAGGATTAAGGTTGGGTGAGATCGAGATAAGAGGAGGTCAAAGGCTCAAAGGATGCTGGGGTGCTAGTAAAAGCAAGGTAGGAATAGTGCAGGCTCAGTGCCAAAGAGGCATCTTTTTACTTGTTCCTTCTTAATTCTTAACAAGCTACTTGCTTTCCTGTCATTTTCTGAAATAATCTCCAAGACCATTGATTACCTATTTATCAGACACCTGTTTTCGTAGATTTTCAACAGTATTTAATATCACTGGGGAAGAAAATGAATTAGAAGTCTAGGGCGTATCTATCTTGTCTCTGGCTGAGGGAACATGTAACTCAGAATTGTCCTGTGTGACATGGCATGGGGCCCAATGGTGCTGTGGTATGATCACCTGCCTGTACAGCTAGTCACATGTGCCCCCCTGCCATTTTCTGGCCATGAGACTCAGGAGAGTCATTTGACTTCTGAGACTCAGTTCCATCACCTATAGGACAGAGATGATGCAATCTGTTTTGTCTGCATCACAGGTGCATTTTGGAAGGAGACAGTGAAATATGCATGGTAGTGTACACAGTAAAATTTGCTCTGGAGAAGGTCCTACGAACAGGACTTACCTTCTCTCTCCTAACATGTTCAGTTTGCCTTCCCATTTCCTCCCAATTTTTCAAATGTTTTCAGTCATCATTCTTCCATTACTCATGCTTGAAAGCTCCTGAGTTTGTTCGTCCATTTTTTTGTTCATGCATTCCTTCATCCATCCATTTATTCCTGTATCTTTCAAGTTCCTGCTGTATGTAAGTCATCATTGATGTAGCTTCCCAATAATGATGGAGATGATATCTACATTTTGTTCAGCATATATTCTGTGCCAGGCATTGTGTTAAGTGCTTGCTTTCTTAAGTGCTTACTTAATCCTCACAACATCCCTGTGAGGTAGGTATTATTTCCCCCCTTTTTTCAGATGAGATAGTTGGGCTCAGAAAGTTAACTGTCTTGACTAGAGTCATACAAGTGAGGAGGGAACCAAAGCTATGTCTAGGTCTGTCTGTCTCTGGAGCCCGTGCAGGCACTCTGCCTCTTTCCCCACGTGTGATCTTCTTAGGGCCTTCTCAGGGCATTTTTGTACGTTCTCTGAATTAGCTCTTATCCTCTCCTGCTTCTTTCTCTCTCCCTCCCTCTCTCCTTCCCTCCCTTCTCTGGCTCAGACCCTCCCCACCCCTTGTGCATTTTGCAGCAGTCTCCTCGCTATTTTCCTATCTTTACTGGGTTGCTCCTGCCTCCACTCCAGCCTGCTCTGCCACCCGTTTGATCCTCCTAAAATAACTTGTCATGCCAGTCCCCTGCTCAGGAAGAGACCCACTTGTTGTTACTGGATCATGTAGATGGACTTGTCTCTCTCCTTCTGAATGTTAAACTCCCTAACTATCCAGACTTACCTTCTAATGCATCTCAATATTGATGTCCTTATTTACTCAATAAATATTTGACTCCATGAGCTAAGGGTGATGGGATCACAAAGAGGGAAGTTGTGGGCTGTGCTTTCAAAGGCTTATAGTTCGATAGAACTCATCTAGAATTCTTTACTGAAACCAATCTAGTCTTCTTTAATATTCCCTAGTCAAGCAAAAGTATGCTGTCTCTTACTCAGTGTGTTCACAACTTAAAGTGTTTGTAGGCTTTTTCACATATCAAGAAAACAGCCCATAATTCAAGACATAGTCAGGTACCCCTTTTCTTGTTCTTATTTATTTTTTAACCCCTTTTTAGTTCATCTTTCTTTTGTCTGTAGTTCCTTAGAACATTTGTTGTCTAGATATTTTATTTTTAGACTTATATATCATCTGTTAGGTTGGCTAATTTTTTGCACTCTGTATTTTTGCAAAGCACTTTTACATGCTTTATTTTATTTGGGCCTAGTAACATTAGCATAGAGATGACAGGTGATATTCCCCTTTTATAGAAGAAACAGCCACCAAGAAGTTAGGTGATCGTGTAAACCTATATGGCTGGCGAGTTGTGAGGTTGTTCTTAGATGAGTTCTCCTGAATATCTGGAGGCAGTGTGGTGTAGAGGGGGAGCACAGCCTAGGAAGAAGCCTAGAGAGATGTGTGGTCAACACTGAGGTGAGTGGAAAGTGCAGAGGGTCCTGGGGCAACCTCTAGTTCCAGTTTTGGTTCCACGCCTCACCTTCTGTGTAACTTCAGGGGAAGTTACTTAGTTCTCTAAGCCTCAGTTTCCTTGTCAGCACCATTCCTGGCCTGCCTTTCTGTGGGGTTATTGTGATGTCCAAGGATAACAGCATGGATATTAGCTGACTTGTTGAGTACCTACTGAATACCAGGCAATGTCCTAAATGTTTTACATGGATTATCTTGGCTAATCCTCAGAACCGCTCTCTGAGATATGTTCTTTGTTCCCAAATGACCAATAAGGAAATCAAAGCACAGAGATGTTAAGTATCTGGCCCAAGTTCATGTAGTTCCCAGGTGGGGAAGCCAGGAATTGAACATAAGCAGTCCGAGTCTCAAAACAGTACTCTTAACAGGAGTACTATAGAGTTATGTTTTTCAGGGTGCTCTCTAGGCTGTAAAGTGCTCTGAGCTTGGAAGTCCAGGCTGCAAGGGGCTGCATGGCCCTGCCTATCTGGGTAAATGTGAAGGGAAGGGAGGGGCAAACATGGAGAGTTTTACTAGAGAAATGGTTCCCTAGCGGGTCTGGCCAGGATTGAAGATGGGGAGAGGTGTTTTGGGGCCATATATCTGGCTATTGGTTGTCATTCTAGTGTCGGGCTATCTGGTCTGCCTTAGAAAGAGAGTGGAGTGGAGGAAGATTCTGTTTGGCCAGTGAAGTCCAGTGCAGACAATACAGGTATCCCTAGATCCACACCGCATCTGGTGGAGCTATACCAGTCAGACCCCAGGCCAACCTTGTTTGGTGCTCAGGGGCAGGGAGCCAGGTGTGCTGGCTCGTAGCCCATGTTAGCTGGGTGAATGAACACAGAGGCATCGTGACATAGCCCTCTGGAGACCTCTCACTAGAATGCTTAATCTTATTAAATATTTATAATTATAAAAGTAATAAGTGGCTATTACAGAAATTTGATGATATATAGAAAAGAAACCATCTCGTTTTTTCTGTTAAGGAGGTGGCTGGGAAGCCAAGAGTGTAAGTAAGGGGCAGGTGGTTGAGGTGGACTGGGCCTTGTGCTACAAGGGACACGTGGAGCTGTCTGCTCTCATTCATGCAGTTGAACCTGACAGTCTCGGGGTTTGAGCTTGGCCCTTTATAACAGCCAGAAGGGAGAAAGAGTCTGGCAACCTTTGCCAGCGTGGAGGAGAACGTAGGTACTTGACTTGCTTTGCTGTATGAAGTCACCTCCATTATTGCCCTTCCTTTGCTGTGTCGTGTGCTGGGTCTGGCTGCTTCGGTCAAGTGTGTGAAATTGAAATCCAGATTAATTACATGGGTTTGGACCCTGAGTCTAGAGTTTAGAAGAAGGAGGGAGAAAGATGAGCCCCTGAAAGGGGGGTATGAGACCCTTACTTTGGCTGCTTGGAGGCGGGTAGGGAGCTGATCTTCTTGAAGTGTCCCTTGTTGCTTGTGGTCCTGCTGAGGCACATTGTGGGGGGAAGTGTTGGGGGTGGCAGCAGTGATGCTGAGGGGTGCAGACTAGGAGGACAGTCAGGGCTGTGCTCCTAGCCCTGAACACTTACGGTTTACTCTAGAGGTGACTGCTGAGGGTCTGTGGTGTGGGCGGAGCCCCAGCAAGTCCCTGCCTTGCTTGTCTGGCCCAGGTGAAGCAGGGGGGCACTAGGACCCAGAGGCTAACACGGTTCCTGACAAGTCTAGAGCAGCACTAGCGCAGAGTGAGACTCATCAGCTGGCAAGCAGGATTCGGTGTCTCTGGGTTCAGGAATCATCAGGCAGCAGAGAGGACTTGCTCCTCAGCCCCCATCTCTGCCCCCATCCCTACCCCGGTAGGCCACCGAGTGAGGTCCATGGACTGGGGAGGGCCGTGCCTGACGGCTTCTGTGTCTGTCCATGAGGGCCTGGAGCTCTGACCCTCCTGCCTAGGTTTCTGCCTTTTCTCTCTGTCTTTGGCCCGCTGGGGGAGGGGGTAGAGGCCGGGTGAGCAACATGGCCCAGAGCAAGAGGCATATGTACAGCCGGGTAAGTGGTCCTTATCTGGGATGGCCCTGGGAGGGCTGCTGGAGAAGGCCTGGGTGCCTGTGGACACTGCTGTGGGGGCTGGGGAGACAGGCTGGAGCTAGGCTGGGGCCACTCGCAGCAGGGACTGATGGTGTGAGGCTGGATGGGCCTCCTCTTCCAGTGTTGGGCCTTCAGTGGGGACTGGCAAGGCCTGACCTTTGACTCTAACTGGACCTCTGGCTAGAGGTTCCTGAGGGGATTGGACTATGCTGGGGACTCTTGGTGGGGTTGGTGGGTTAGAATGGCCTTACAGTGACGCCTTTCTTTAGAGCTGCTCTGTTGTTTGTCACTTGCTTTCTCTCTATTCTGGTTGAGATTGAATCTGTACCCACTATTGTGTCCACCTGGTTTTGAGAGGCTTATTAGGGTTGGGAGGTTGAGGGAGTCTCTTTAGTTTGGGGCTAGTCCTGATGTCACTGTCAGTTTTTTTTATTGTGAGATCTGTGAGAGCAACCCTACTGTCCCAGGTGTGATTTGGGGTCCTGAAGCCCCTGGGAGCTATAGCCTTATCTTCCCGGATGAGCTCTTAGGGAAAGGGATTTGGGGAGTGACAGGCTCTAGCAGGGCTCCCTTCTGAAGCCAAGTGGGAGCATCGGAGGGAGCCCTGTGGAATCTTCAGAACCAGGGAGTCACTTTCTCATGCCTCATTCATCTCTTTGCTATAAGGCCCCTGGTTCATGGAGCTGCTATTGCTAAAAATGGCTTAGGTGTGATTTTCTTCTAAACCATGGCCCTCTTTGGAAACCTAATTTCAGGTTGTGTCCTGTCATCACGGGTGTGTCAGAAGCTGAGAACTTCCGAAGGACAATGTTTAGTCTATTCCTTTGCTCTGTCGATCCATGGGATGATAGCCACCCATTTGGACCACTGGGCAGAGTCTAGGGGACAGTGTAGGTCAGATCTGAGGTACCAGATTTACCTGGCCTTTGTTTTTCTTTTTATAGCAACATAATGTGGGGGAAGAATCTCTAGAGTTTGGGGTAGAGTTGCTAGGACAGGGTGCAGGCCAGGAGGAAGGGAACTAAATGGTTGAATGGGCTTCAGTGAGGCATCTAGGAATGTCATGGTGGGTGTGTGGATGGGGTGGGGGGAGTCGGGTCTGGAAGGAGTGATGGTGACTTAAGGGCTGGAAGGAGGCACAGTTGTGTACCTTTGAAAGAGAGAGGCCTAAGAGAGCTGGTTGACCACAGGGAAGACAGACAGCAGTGGGAGTAGAATAGGATCCTGTGGGGTCACCCATGAGTCACCTGTCTTCTCAGCTTAGGCACCTGAGTCAGGGCACTGGGTTTTGGAGAACGTGGTCTCAGTTGAGTTATTCGCTTGAGCTTCATTCCCCTCCTTGGGGGCAGTGCTCCTGAGACACTGACATTCACAGGTCTGTCATTGAATTCTGATTTGTTATAAAATTTAAATATAAACTCTTAAAAAAACGGTAGCAGATTCCAAAGGAGTTTGGAGAAGTCTTAGAACATCACCGGTACTTTTCAGAAGGGAATTTGGGACCCACTTCACCCTGAAAGTGGGGTTCAGGGAAGTGACTTCTTGTCCTTTTTCATCCAGGATCCTGACTAAGGCCTTTCTGGTGCATTAGGCTGCTACCCTTGACCCGAGGCCTTTAACTGCATATGCTTGCACGTGTCTTTCTTTCAGACGCCCAGTGGCAGCAGAATGAGTGCAGAGGCAAGTGCCCGGCCTCTGCGAGTGGGCTCCCGTGTGGAGGTGATTGGAAAAGGCCACCGAGGCACTGTGGCCTATGTTGGAGCCACACTCTTTGCCACTGGCAAATGGGTCGGCGTGATCCTGGATGAAGCAAAGGGCAAGAATGATGGAACTGTCCAAGGCAGGAAGTACTTCACTTGTGATGAAGGGCACGGCATCTTTGTGCGTCAGTCCCAGGTACCTCTACCCTGTTTTGAGTGTGTGCGTGTGCACATGCTCTGTCGCTTGTGCAGCTTTTGTGTGGGGCTCCCTTTTCCTGGGCATGAGTGTACATCTCTGGTTGAGAGAGTGGGAAGTAGCGGGGGAGGGAAGATTGGTCATCCATCCTTATGTCCATCCTTATGGAAGCTGCCCTGTACCCCAGGCTTGCTTGGGGCGTGGGGTGGGGGCAGATCACAGCCATCCTTGATCTGACTATATTGAGTCTGTTCTCTGGCTTGAGATCCAGGTATTTGAAGATGGAGCAGATACTACTTCCCCAGAGACACCGGATTCTTCTGCCTCAAAGGTCCTCAAAAGAGGTAACAGCCACTCAATTAAGTTGCCTTCCCACATCTAGAAGTCCACAGGACTTCTGCCCAGAATACAGGGCCACAGTGGTTCATGAGATTTTTCCATCACCACCATATTCCCTTGTTACATTTCTTCTACCCCAATGGTCTCTGCCCCCACCCCTCTATACAAACACACAATTTGTTTCTGCTTGCTTTCTACAGAGGGAACGGACTCAACTGCAAAGACCAGCAAACTGGTGAGTGGTTGGGGATGGGAGTGGAGAGTAAGAGAGAGAAAGAGGGGAAGGAGAAAGAGGAGGGAGACCACTCCTAGGCAGGTAGAAATAGTAGGTGAGTAAATGGAGTTAAGCCTTCCTGTCTCCAACCTCCTTGAGAAGGAAGCTTTCTGGGTGTGAGTTGCTGCTTTAGGGGTAGAATAAAGGTGGTAGCAGGGAAGAACTGTTAGGGTCCAGAAGTTTAGGGTCAAATGGGGCCAAGGCTAGGGGGTGACAGGAAAGATAGGTCTGACCCTAGTAGTGCTATTGCCAGCTTCCTACCTTTTGGTACCCAAGATTGCCAGGATGTTAAAGGTCAGAGGGTAGGGGGAAGGTGAAAACTAGAAGAAGAAGGAGCTGTCCTGCTCACAAGTGAATGATAAGGAGCCAGCGCCACTGCTGCCTGTTTTAGGCTGTATGCAGAGGCCCTGTTCTAATTCTCTGCTGCTCTGCACAGGGTATGTGTGGTGGGGATTCAGACCCTCCAGCTTCTCTGGATCAGGGTGTGGACATCCTGGAAGCTGATCCTTCAGGGATCTCACTTACCCAGGAGTTGGTAGTGACCTGACTCTCCCCTTTACCTGTGTGTACCTGAGTTGGTCTTAACACCTCCCCCAGGATGTCTGGCCAGCTAGCACACTGTGATGTCTGTTCTCTAACTCTCCCCTTTCCTACTCCTCATGCAGCGGGGACTGAAGCCTAAGAAGGTGGTGTGTTTACTATTTGTGCCTGGGTGGGTGAGGGCCATGAGCCCCCTCCCCAGCTGTCCTGCATGTCCTTGGGCTGCTGCATGCATGTTTGTGTGACCTTGGGGCTGGGATGGCCAGAGGAAATGGCGGCCTTGGCTTTCAGGGTTCCTTTGAGGGATGCAAGGATATCAGGCTTAGTGTCCAGGCTCAGGTGGCACTCATTGGAGATGACCGCTGCACCTACTTGTCCCCCTCCCCACTGCCTTAGGACTTCTAGTCAGAGACTCCAGACATTCAACTGTAAATGTAAAGCAGTAGCATGGAGTAGGGCATTTACTGGGTTACACTCGGTTTCAGTCTGAGTTTGGGGGCAGTGGGAGGAAACATGGAGGTTGGGAGTGGAGAAAGTACCAAACGAGATGATTGGGCAAGGAGCAAGAGGCCAGGGAGCAGAGCACAGGAAGAACAGTCCTGAGTTAGAAGGCCTGAGAGTCCGTGTGTCTGTTTCTGGGCGGGTGCTAGCTGTGGATGCCCGCCCTCACTCTGCTCGTCAGTCTTTCCCTACCTCTTCCTGCCTCTGGTGCTGCACTTGAGGCTGCCTCCCACCCGTTGTGGCCCGCCTCCCAACCCCTTGCGGCCTTCCATCAACCATTATTGTGTGGGGCTCAACTCTGCCACCCCCAGACTCTTTTTAAACTCTGAAGTCACTGCCGTGACCACTTCCTCACACCAGCCCGTGTCTTGGGCCTGTGCCCAAACTATCTCTGAGTTGCATGTGCCTGTCTGACCTGTATGTCCTGTGCCATATGTGTGGTTCTGTGACTTCCTTGTCTCCAGCTGTCTCAGGCCCTTCTGACCTGCATGAAGAGCTACTGGATTGGGCCAGTGGGTGGGGAGAGGAAAACATCTTTTCCACTCCTGGTTGTTGATGGGTCCTCACTCTGGAGTCTTGCCATGGAAGAGACCACATTCTGGTGCTTGCCTTGAGGTCCTGGCTTGGGTGGGAGTGGGGATAGGAGAAGGAAAATAATGCTGTAAAGGGTGCTGAGCCCATTACAAGGTTATAGAAACTTGGGCTTTTCCCTGGGTTATTGTCTTCTGGTTGGGGCTCCCAGTCTTGCCTCAGGCCCCTGCATAGAGAAGAGCATGGACCTGCAGTCTGATATCCATGGAGGACTTCTCACCACAGGGGGACCTGACCCTGGGCAGGGCCTGAGCTGTGTCCGAAAGTGGGGGTTTTGGCATCTGCCTGGGGATATGTGGCAAAGCCCAGCCTAGGCTGCCTTCATTGCTCCTGTGCAAAGTGCCAGTCAAATAGTCAAGTCCCCAGCCAGGTCGTCATCTCCAGTGGCTCTTGCACAGCAGAACACCTAGTCCAGGGCCCTGCTCTCACCCCCCGGGGGGAACAGGGGGCTAGCACCAGAACAACAACAACAACAAAAGGAACTTTGAGGGGGAGGGCAGAAGAGAATCCAGATGTCTCTGCAAGGTGCCCAGTCCCTCTGGAAGGTCTTTAGAGACAGGCTTTAACCTGCCTGTAACCAGGGGAGGTTTGGGAAAGGAGCGAAATAGTCATTATTAGAGCTGCTGCTGAGTGTTTCCTGGGGTTTCTTATTGTCATTGTATGCCCCTCAGAACGGATGCTGTCACAGAAGGGGTATTCTGAGTGCCTGCGCCTCATGAGAGACCAACCATAAGGGCGTTGTCCGTGTGTATAAGAGACAAGTGGAGTTAATGGGGCTGTGGACAGAGTGGAGTGTCTGAGAGGGGCTGGTGGAGCAGTGAGGCTCTGTGCCTCTGCCCAGTCATCCCTCAGCCCCAGAGAATACCATTTCTGGGATGGTCCCTAGCCCAGTTTTTTGGAACAGACTCTTGGGGGTGGGGGTGGGAGAAGGGAAGGGGAGGGAGGAATGAGAACCTGTTCCACCGAGGCAGAAGCAGGGCGGGTTCTGCGCCGGACTTTGTCCAGTCATGTGGAGGAGGAGGAGCCAGCAGAGCCCGGCAGTTGCTAGGAGACCAAGGAGCAGTGGCTCCACCCCCACAGATCAGAGGAGGGTGGGTGCATGACGTCAGGTGGAGCTGGTGCTGCGGCCACTGAGGCTGCCATCAGCCTTAGCTGGTGAACTGGGCCGGGCTCCTCTCCGGTGCCTGCCCGAGCCTGGCTGTCCCACTGCGCACCTGCGGGGGCTTTTGCGACTGAGCCACAGCCGTTTTGCGGGCCGGGAAGCCGGCCTGCCGGGAAGCTGAGGCTGCATTGTTGGGATTTGATGCACTAATCTCCTGTCTCCGCCGCCTTTCCCTCTGTTCGGTCTCTTTCCCTCCCTCCCTTCGTCTGTCCTTCCTCTGTGTGTTTGTCCATCCTCCTCTGTCCCTCCTTCTCTTTCTTCTCCTGGCTTTCTTTGGTTTTCTGCAATGATGAGACAGGCACCGACAGCCCGAAAGGTACTCTTGCTTGCTCTGGTCCTGCTGCCGGGTTGCCAGGGCGATGGTGGCAGTAGGCTGCTGGGGTGGGGGTGGGGGCTGATTGACTTCGTCTGTCTACCTGGTTGGGGGAGGAGGGTAGGGATGTGGAGGGGGAGGGAGAGGTGTGTGTCACTGCCATGGCCCACATCCTGGGCATTTGTTCTCTGCTTTGGGCTCTGACTGTGTGTTCTGGGCCTTGTACCCAGTGGCCTCACAGCCTTGGGCTTCAGGCAGGTTTTGCTGCAAACTGGCTCTGGGAGTTTCCTGTGAGAGGATATGGGGAAGCAGGTCCCGGTGTCTCCATGCCTCTATCAGGCCTACCTCACCCTTATCCTTTGCTAGGATGCCTCTTGGTTGTACTCTCGGCATCCCTTCACCAGGGTTTGTATTAAAGGGCTTTTCCAGGGTGGGATGGGGACCCTAGAATAGTTTTTGACCCACAACTATGGAGGCTCAGCTCAGGGTAGGAGGGGTGGGGTTTGGTCTCCTTAGACTCAGTGTCTTCTAGAGGTAGGGTCCAATCCAAATCTGTTTTTGCTGTTTTGCTGTAAGATACTGGGTAGCAGGAATAAAATTTGGAATTTGGGATTAATCATCTATTTTGGTTTAGGGCACTAGTTTCTCTATGCTGCTGCCTACCCCCACGTCCTTTCTTGCAGCTGGGTGGGGTTACTTTGCTGAGCTCTGGGTTCTGGTTAATGCAGTATTCATGGTCCTGACACCTGAGCCCTTTGCCCTAGGGATGGGGACTGCTGCAGGATCTGGTCCTGGGGGAGGGGAAGACAGCAGCACTGTTTTGCCTAAGGGGCCTGAGCACCCCCCTGCTGGGGTCATATCACTCACTTCTGGGCTTCTAGCATCACTCTGGTCACATGGTATTTCTAGGGGGTCTTCTGTGCAGTCTGGCAGTTGAAGGAAGGGGCTGACCTGGGAAAGTCCTTGGGAGTGGTGGGTGGGCGGGGCCTCTGGCTCTGGGCTGGAGTGCAAGAAGGACAGTCTCTGGGGACCTCCACCAGCTGCTGCCTTTGGTCTCCTGTGGCTCAGCCTAGGAGATGGGGATTTCTGGGATTTTCAGGGTACTTGAAGGGGTGAGGTCTGCAAGGGTTGGGCATAAATGGGGCAAGGAGCCAATGGAGAATAGGATTCTGAGGTCCTGGAGTAGAAACAAGGTGATTCACTGGAGGGAAAAGGGGATGGGGTAGGGATGGGAGTGGGGAGGCAGCTAACTGTAATCCCATTCCTGGTACTTCTTCTGCTCTCATTGCTGTCCTTTCTGCTGTCTGTCTTTCTGCCATTATCCTTTCTTTCCTGACTCCTCCTCCTCCTCTGGCTCCTGTTGCCTGTCCAGACCACAACTCGGCGGCCCAAGGTGAGAAAAAAAAAAGGCCTCTGTACATGCCACTGCTGAGTGTAGACTTACATTTCAGGCATGTGCTTGTGTGTGGGCATGTGTGTGAACAAGTTAAAGGTGGTTGCAGTGCATCCTGGGTTCTCTTTTTCAGGGGAGTAAGGGGACTTAGGATGGTGACAGGCCTCTCCTGGGAAAATGACTTCTGACTCTTAGGAGGTTATCTGAGCCAGTAGCCTGAATGCAGACAGGAAATGAGAGTGGTTGTGGTCAGTCAGGGCCGGCTTTCTTGAAGAAGGGCATTTTGACTAGTTTTTTGGTGCATGAGTAGGGGTAGAAGTTAGAAGAAAGGTGAAGAAGAACTTGTCAGTGTCAGGGGATAAGGACCTGGGGTTATCTGTGGGTAGCATATGAATTCTGAGTGTCAGCCCATCAGGAGAACTTCAGGGCTCAGTACTGCAAGAGAGAGCACTGGGCAGGCCTGTCTGCTACAGCCTGGGGCTCCAGGGAGCTCTGCCTCAGCCCCACGGGGCCCTGGGTAAATGTTGCCTGGTTAGAGCCCCTTTGTCTTATGGGAGGGAGATGACAGAAGGTTGGCCCTACTGACCATGTTTCAGAGGGGAGCCTAGGAGTACAACTTTCACTCTGGCCCTTTTACCTGAAGGGTCCCCTAAAGTAGACCAAGGGAGGGAGAATCACCTCAACTCCCAAAGAGTGGCATATAGAGCTTGGTACCCCCACTTTTAGCCCAGCCTTCTCTGGGAATATGAAAGTTAGAGAACAAATTCCAATTTGTTCTTTTGCTCTGGGAATGACATTGAGGTACTTAATCTTCCTGGGGGAGGAGGGTACAGGCCCAGAACAACAGTAGAACTGGGAGTATTAAGAAATTGCTATAATGATCACAACTGGGTCACAGAGGGGAGGACTGGGGAGTAAGGGATTCTGCTCTAAGCGGGTAGTGCCAGAACTGGGAGGAATGTGGGGTCAGTGCCAAGGGAGAAGCATTATAATCTTATGTCTTCTATCACTTCCTCCCTCTCTCCTCTGCCCGCCTCCTGCCTCCCCCGTCCTTTGTCACTATCTCTGACTCTGTGTCATTTTTCCTCTCCCCTTCACTCTGCTTCTCTGTTCTCATTGTGCTTTGATACTCTCTCACTGCCTTTTTCCTTCTCTGTCTCCTTCCCTTGGCGGATTCTCATATTTTCTCACCCCCCACCCCCGTTCTTTTTCTGGCTTGCCCCTGCCCTCTCTGAATAGCCCACCCGCCCTGCCAGTACTGGGGTGGCTGGGGCCAGTAGCTCCCTGGGCCCCTCTGGCTCAGCATCAGCAGGTGAGCTGAGCAGCAGTGAGCCCAGCACCCCGGCTCAGACACCGCTGGCGGCACCCATCATCCCCACGCCGGCTCTCACTTCTCCTGGAGCAGCACCTCCGCTACCTTCCCCCTCCAAGGTAAGGACTGGGGTTGGAATGAAGAAGAACTAAGACATGGAGGGCCTGTGACCCCAGGCAGGATCTTAGAAATTTTCCAGAGGTGGGGGAGACCCAGAATTTGGGTCTGAAGGGTGGGGACACAGCATATGGTTCTGCCATTGACTCAGCTACCTTTTCTTTTCTGCCCTTTTCCACACTTTTCCCTTCTGGACCCTCCTTTCTCAGATGTTTGTAGGCCACTTTTGCTTTTGACCTGGGGCTGGAAAGATGTTTACGTACATTCCTATGCTTTTGCTCCAGCTCAGCCTTGGTGAGGAGAAGGGGGAAGCTATGTACCTACCAAGGGGTCTCTCCTTTGCAGGAGGAGGAGGGGCTGAGAGCCCAGGTGCGGGACCTGGAGGAGAAACTGGAGACCCTGCGGTTGAAACGGGCGGAAGACAAGGCGAAACTAAAAGAGCTGGAGAAACATAAGATCCAGCTGGAGCAGGTGCAAGAATGGAAGAGCAAGATGCAGGAGCAGCAGGCAGACCTGCAGCGACGCCTCAAGGAGGCGCGGAAGGTGGGACTTGGGGGGAAGAGGTGGCTGGGGAGCTTGGGACCCAAGCCGGTGCACCGGACAGTAGGCTGGAGCCTGGAATATCCCGTGAGAAAGGGTACGTGAGGTGTCCCTCGCTGGTACTCCCTTCAAACTCCACCCCTCCTCAGGAAGCCAAGGAGGCCCTGGAGGCAAAGGAACGCTACATGGAGGAGATGGCTGATACTGCCGATGCCATCGAAATGGCCACTCTGGACAAGGAGATGGCCGAAGAGCGGGCCGAGTCCCTGCAGCAGGAGGTGGAGGCATTGAAGGAACGTGTGGATGAGCTCACCACTGACTTAGAGATCCTCAAAGCTGAGATAGAAGAGAAGGGTAAGGGGCCAGGAGCTGATGGGGGCCAGATGGTGGGGTTGGAACCATGTCTGAGAGTGTTAATGGTCTTCCCCAGGCTCAGATGGGGCAGCGTCCAGTTATCAGCTAAAGCAGCTCGAGGAGCAGAACGCCCGCCTGAAGGACGCCCTGGTGAGGTAGGGTCCCCGCCCTGCTTGGCTCCAGGCTCGCTCTCCTTTCTCTAGATGCACGAGAGAGTGCCCATGGCCAGTGACTCGGACACAGCACTTCCTCCCTTCTCCCTCTTTGCTTCTCCACAGGATGCGGGATCTTTCTTCCTCTGAGAAGCAAGAGCATGTGAAACTCCAGAAGCTCATGGAGAAGAAGAACCAAGAGCTGGAGATTGTGAGGCAACAGCGGGAGCGTCTGCAGGAGGAGCTGAGCCAGGCAGAGAGCACCATTGATGAGCTCAAGGAGCAGGTCTGGGGAGCCCAGGCCCTCACCCAGGGGACCCCTCTCTTCAAAGGCCAGTGCCTCCTCTTTCTTGGTGCCTTTCAGCAGCTCTTCCCCCTGTTCCCTCCTTGTAACACAGGTGGATGCTGCTCTGGGTGCCGAGGAGATGGTGGAGATGCTAACAGACCGGAACCTGAATCTAGAAGAGAAAGTACGAGAGTTGAGAGAGACCGTGGGAGACTTGGTAAGAGAAGAGACCCCTGACTTCCCACCCTGGTAAAGGGTATTTGGAAGGCACTTGCTGAAAGAGGGACTGATATGACCTCTGACCTTTGAGCAGGCTGTGTGGTGAGTGGCCCACCCTGACCTGCTACCCTGACTCTGCTTTTCCTTTGCCGCTACTGCCTTGTGGCCTCCCAGGAAGCGATGAATGAGATGAATGATGAGCTGCAGGAGAATGCACGCGAGACAGAGCTGGAGCTGCGGGAGCAGCTGGACATGGCGGGTGCGCGGGTCCGGGAGGCCCAGAAGCGTGTGGAGGCAGCCCAGGAGACGGTCGCAGACTACCAGCAAACCATAAAGAAGTACCGCCAGCTGACCGCCCACCTTCAGGTGCCTGTGTACCCCCTGTTGTCCACCCACAATCACTCTGGGCTCCCTTGTGACCCAGCTGTGCCTCATTGTCTCTCTCTCTCCTAGGATGTGAATCGGGAACTGACAAACCAGCAAGAAGCATCTGTGGAGAGGCAGCAGCAGCCACCCCCAGAGACTTTTGACTTCAAAATCAAGTTTGCTGAGACTAAGGCTCATGCCAAGGTCAGGGGAGTGGATAGGCCAGAGAGTGGGGAGTGTTGGGGGCATCCAGACTGGCTGTGGCTATAGGCTGATCTGGCGTGGGGTTCTGGACTTCACGTGGCTGGAGAGGGGTATGCTTTGCATGGTGGTCTGGAAGACTCCTCGCTAGGGCTTGTCCCAGAAGCAGGGGGCCTGGTGGAATGAGGTATGATAGTTCCGAGGCTCTCTCCGGCCTGGCTGAGAGCCCACCTTCCTGTCCACCTCACAGGCAATTGAGATGGAATTGAGGCAGATGGAGGTGGCCCAGGCCAACCGGCACATGTCCCTGCTGACGGCCTTCATGCCTGACAGCTTCCTTCGGCCGGGTGGGGACCATGACTGCGTCCTGGTACTGCTGCTCATGCCTCGTCTCATTTGCAAGGTATGGCTGGTCAGTCTAATCACTTGCTGTGTAGCAGGCCCAGAGGATGCTGAGTGAAGATAGCGGTCAGTGTCCCTGCTCACAGAGTTTATCTTGTGGTGGAAGAATGCAGATGCATGCGCATTACAGACGCTGGGCTGTGAAGGGCAGGCGGCTTCTCTGAGACAGCACTACTGGGGCTCTGATTCAGGTGGAATGGTGGCACCAAAGGAAGAACATTGGAACTGAGACCCAGAAGGTGACTAGGAGCTAGTGCGGGGGATGACCGTCAGGATAGGATTCAGGTGAAAGGGTAGTGGGCGCAGTAGCTTTAAGGCAGGAAAGAGCTTAGCCCCACTGGTTCACTACCCTTTCATCTCCACATCCCAAATCCTCACAACCGCCGGTGATCACATCATTATCCTTTCCCTCGGTGAGACTCCCTTGCCCACCTAAGAGCTATTTCTGCTTTCCTCCACATGTGTCCATGCGCTATCCCCCGCCGCCCAACCCTCCCGCCTAGTTGCTCAGTTTTGTGTCCTGTGTTCCTGAGTCTGTTCTCCGTCCTCTGCTCTGAGCCCAGGTCCCTGGTGCTTCTTCCCACAGGCAGAGCTGATCCGGAAGCAGGCCCAGGAGAAGTTTGAACTAAGCGAAAACTGTTCAGAGCGGCCCGGGCTCCGAGGAGCTGCAGGGGAGCAGCTGAGCTTTGCTGCCGGGCTGGTGTACTCACTGAGTCTGTTGCAGGCCACGCTCCACCGCTACGAGCAGTAAGTGACCCCCGGCCCCTGCCCCGGGACCACAGGGCCAGGATTGGATGGAACTGAGAGTTCCTGGCAGGCCTTGGCCTCAGAGGACCCTTTTCTGGTCTCCAGCGCCCTCTCTCAGTGCAGCGTGGACGTATATAAGAAGGTCGGCAGCCTCTACCCTGAGATGAGTGCCCATGAGCGCTCCTTGGATTTCCTCATTGAGCTATTACACAAGGATCAACTGGACGAGACTGTCAACGTAGAGCCTCTCACCAAGGCCATCAAGTACTACCAGGTCTGGGGCGAGAATTCAGGCTTGGCACAGCAGGGAGGGAAGGTTTCTTCTGCTGAGGCTGTTGCCAGTGTGGCCAAGGCTGTATGTCCTAGGCTGGCTGCTTAAGGCTTGGCTTGCTCCTAAACGGACTTGCCCGAGGATGCAGCTTCTTGGGGTCTCAGATTCTCTTATACCTCTGGAGTCCTGTGGTGACTGGGGCAGTCTGGGGAGAATTCTCCATCCTTCCAAGGTCTGAAAGCAGTCTGTTTGTCATTTCTCCTCAGCATCTGTATAGTATCCATCTTGCTGAACAGCCCGAGGACAGTACCATGCAGCTGGCTGACCACATTAAGGTGAGGTGTCTGGGTCAGTGCTTGAGCCCCCTGTAGAGGTCAGCAGTGGGGGACATCAGGTCAAGAGACCTGGCCCTTAGGTGTCAGGTGTCCCATAAGACTGGAACAGTCAGATCAGGAAAGCCAGAGAACCGACATCTTTGTTGGTGGAGAGGAGGGACTTGTTAGAAATAGCGATGGGGCAGAAGGGCTCCTGTTGGGGGCTGACAACCACACACGTCTGTCCTTACAGTTCACCCAGAGTGCCCTGGACTGCATGAGCGTGGAGGTGGGACGGCTGCGTGCCTTCTTGCAGGTGAGAGCACAGCCAGGTCTTTTTCACTTCCTTTTCTTCTTTAGTTCCCACCTGTTCACCTCCAGCCCTAATGCTGTCTTGGTTCCCTATTTCCTATTCCCTGAGTAGGGTGGCCAGGAGGCTTCAGATATTGCCCTTCTGCTCCGGGACCTGGAGACATCGTGCAGTGACATCCGCCAGTTCTGCAAGAAGATCCGAAGGCGAATGCCAGGGACAGATGCTCCTGGGATTCCAGCCGCTCTGGCCTTTGGAGCACAGGTTTAGGGCAGCGAAGGGGGAAGGAAAGGAAGCTGAGTAGAAGCAGGAGGGGCCTAGAGTGTTGAGGTCTGCATCTGGTCAGGGAACAAGAATGGTCTAGAGGTAGCTGGGAGCTCTGGCGCGGGACCTGGGCTGGGCTCCTGACTCTGAACTGTCGCACAGGTGTCGGACACGCTCCTAGACTGCAGGAAACACTTGACGTGGGTGGTGGCCGTGCTGCAGGAGGTGGCAGCTGCTGCCGCCCAGCTCATTGCCCCACTCGCAGAGAATGAGGGACTGCCTGTGGCTGCGCTGGAGGATCTGGCTTTCAAAGCGAGCGAGCAGGTAGGCCTGGATGGCTGGACAGAGGTGGTGGCAAAGTCCTGGGGCCAGTGTGGGATTTTCACCACTGCCCTTGCTCCTGCAGATCTACGGGACCCCTTCTAGCAGCCCCTATGAGTGTCTGCGGCAGTCGAGCAACATCCTCATCAGTACCATGAACAAACTGGCCACAGCCATGCAAGAGGGCGAGTATGATGCAGAGCGGCCCCCCAGCAAGGTGGGTAGGGAGCTCTTTGGAGGTGCTCAAGGACCCCAGAGGAGCCAGGCTTACAGAGTTGCTGCTGGTGTGGGAGGGCTGGGAGAAGGGAGAAGGTGGGAGAAGGGAATCTGGAGAGCACCACCCTGCTTGGAAGACAAGGCTTTCCCTATGCCCAGCTCTCTCTGGAATGAGCACATTGGTGACCTCCTCTCCCCATTTCTGCCTTCTGCTTCTACCTGACCCCTAGCCTCCCCCAGTTGAGCTGAGGGCTGCAGCCCTTCGTGCAGAAATCACCGATGCTGAAGGCCTGGGCTTGAAGCTTGAAGATCGAGAGACAGTTATCAAGGAGTTGAAGAAGTCATTGAAAATCAAGGTGAGAGGGGAGGGTAGGCTCAGGATCTGCAGGGCCAGGAAATACTGCTGAGGTACAGGACAGCTTTGAGTGTTAGGGATCTCCTGGGACTGAAACTGGTTGGGGGTTGAGGGGAGAAGTGGCACCTGTGATCAGTGGGGAGAGCACCTGTGGGCCCTTTGGAGCTTTCTGGTTCGTGGTCTGTCCTGGGTCCCTGGGGCCCATGAGAGGATGTGAGGGAACTAGACACTCTCTGTCCTTGTCCAGGGGGAGGAGCTGAGTGAGGCCAATGTGCGGCTGAGCCTCCTGGAGAAGAAGCTGGACAGCGCTGCCAAGGATGCAGACGAGCGCATTGAGAAAGTCCAGACTCGGCTGGAGGAGACGCAGGCCCTGCTGCGGAAGAAGGAGAAGTCAGGCACTTTCCCTGCATCCCTGCTTGTTCCACTCCTTCCTGCCAGCCGCTCTCCCTCCTAACCACCCCCTTCCCCAGGCCCTCTCCGAGTGAGACTCTCCTCAGAGGAGATACCATTTTCCTTCCCCACTGCCAAGCCCATTGTGTCATTCCAGTTGGAGCATGTGCTGCTCCCGGCTCCTCACCAGCAGGGCTACTCTGAGGCTCTGTCAGGACTGAGAAGTGGGGCTGGTGCTCTGGGGAAGGGACCCTGCCCAAGCCCATATTGTCTTTCGCAGGGAGTTTGAGGAAACGATGGATGCACTCCAGGCTGACATTGACCAGCTAGAGGCAGAGAAGGCAGAGCTAAAGCAGCGGCTGAACAACCAGTCAAAGCGCACGATCGAGGGGCTCCGGGGGCCCCCTCCCTCGGGTATTGCTACCCTGGTCTCTGGCATTGCTGGTGGTGAGTGCAGTGGGAGAGGCAGCGTTATCCCAGAGGAGATTGAATGGCTTCCCTCCTGTCCTTGGCCTCAGTTTGATTTCTCACCCCCTCTTACTGGATGTTCAGCCAGGAATGTGTTTGCCCAGTTTTGCTCTGTGAAAGCTTTTTACCAAGTTTTTACTTCTCCTGAAGATAATGCGCAGAGTCCCACTGATCAAGGTGGGGCATGACCAGCTTGTCAGCGGAGCCCAGAATTACGACGACAATTAGACTCTAACAGATGTCCCTTTTGGGTCTGGTCTTTCTGTGCCAGCCCAATATCCCAGACAGTCATCAGCCTGCAGCAGATTAGGCTAACTTTGCTGCTGTATCCAGCCATGCCTGATGCCTGATCTTGATTGCTCTTTTGCTTGCACTTTGTATTTCTCTCTACTGAGTTCATGTGCCTTTATCCTGTGGAATGGCTGTCTTTTCCATTGCTGAGTTCTCCCAGTTCCACTTGGGACTTGTGTTCTGACCTCTCTCTGGTCTCTAGTATGGTCAGGGCCCTTTACCTGGAGTTTTTCTGGTTCTGAAGCCCAGTCTCCCTAGTTTTCCAGGACCAAGGGGGTGTCCACTGCTGTGCTGGTTCTCATCTGCCCTGTAGTTTTTCAGTTTCTTTCTTACTTCCAAAAGACAGGCTCCTTGGCCTGAAGCCCTCAGGATTTCTAGAGCTCCCCTGCTATGCCTGTCTTGTCAATTCGCCTTCACTAGGTTCTTGTTCTCATTAAAGCCCTCCTCCCTGGTGCCTCTTGTTCTTGGGAGGTGACCGAGGACTTGTTGGCCTTGGACTTGTGTGGTATAGTTGGCTCCTGTTCCTTGGGCAAGGGGTCTCCAGAGTTACCACATTGTGTTGTAGCACAGGCTCTCTAAACCGATACTGGTTCTGATTCACAAAATTTCCCACTAAAAAAAGAGCGTCTTTCGCCCCAGAATAATGGGGAACCCAAGGAGCAGGGAATGCAGCTGCACCTTCAACTTCAGCTTTGCTGCTGTGGAACAGTACAGGTGCAGACATCTTTGGGTCTCTGGAGCAATCCCTCTGCCCTTCTTAGAGATGGAATGTGAGGCAGGGAGCAGGAACGCCTCCTGCCCCAAGTGCTCCCTCCAGTGCGCACCCCCACTGCGGCTCTTCCTCACGCTTCACTCCTCTGTCACACATATTTGCTCTTCCTACAGGCGCAGAGAGCAGGGGCAGGTTCTTGTCGGAGGGAGCGTGAGGGTTAGGAACAGGTGTTCCTGTAGATTGTGTCTAGGATTCCTCTGGTGTGGCCCCTTAATCCCAAGTCCTAACTCATCTCTCCTCTCTTCCTGCTCCCCCATGGGCTATCCTGAACACAGAAGAACAGCAGCGAGGTAGAGAGCCTCCCTGGCAGGGGTTTGCCAGGGCTGTGGGAAGTGGGTCTGGGGGAGCAGGGTAAGACTCCCCCCTTGGGAGCAACCAGGACTGGAGGTGGGAGTGGATAATGAAAGGGGATGAGCAGGGATGGGGCCCATCTTCCACCCTCTTCGCTTGGGGCTGATGACATTGGTCTTGGTACATGCAGGAGGTGCCCCTGGGCAGGCTCCAGGATCTGTGCCAGGCCCTGGGCTGGTGAAGGACTCACCACTGCTGCTTCAGCAGATCTCTGCCATGAGGCTGCACATCTCCCAGCTCCAGCATGAGAACAGCATCCTGAAGGTGAGGGGGTCACAGGAATGACTGGGGTGCAGATGGAGTCCACCTGCCCCATTGATGATAGATGGCAGGGCCTTCTGTTGCTTCTTACCACCATTCCTCTTCTTCCCCCCACAGGGAGCCCAGATGAAGGCATCTTTAGCAGCCCTGCCCCCGCTGCATGTGGCAAAGCTCTCCCCCTCACCTCATGAGGGCCCTGACAGTGAACTAGCAGCTGGTGTGCTGTATCGTAAGACCAGCCAGCTGTTGGAGACATTGAATCAACTGAGCACACACACCCACGTAGTAGATATCACTCGTTCCAGCCCTGGTATGGACCCATCAACCCATGAAATGAGTAACATACCCCCCTCCCTTTGCCCCAGGGCTGTAACCCCTACCCAGGCATGTGCCATATGGTAGAGCCTCTTCCTAGCATTGCATTCTGGCTTCGGTGCTCGGTTTGCTTGATTCATCCATTCTCTTATGGACCTGCTCCATGAGAGGGTCTACTGGGCCTTGATGGGCCTCACTAGCTTCCTTCCCCACAGCTGCCAAGAGCCCATCGGCCCAGCTCCTGGAGCAGGTGGCTCAGCTCAAGTCCTTAAGTGACACCATCGAGAAACTCAAGGTTAGCTCAGACCCTACTCTTCCTCAGTCTGCAGAGTTTGCTTCATAACATTCCCTGCTGGAGCCCTTAGTACATTTGTTTCCTTGGGCACTCTCAGAGTTCCTCTGGGCCCAGCCCTGTGCTAGACAGCACACTGGGGAGGAGGTGGAGGGCAAGGCAGGGTTCCTGTCTCAGAAGCTCACTGTTTTGGTGCAAACAGAAGACAGATTCTCATCAACAAATTGGGTTGAGCTAAGATCATCTTTAGGGTGTGGGGTTCGGGTGCAGATTCTTTAGTGCTGAGATCACTGGGGGGGGTAGAATGGTTGGGGGTGGCTTCCCAGAGGCTGTAGAGTCTGAGTCAGGCTTTAAAGGATAAGTATCTGTAAAGTAAGGATGTTGGATAGGGATGGGGTTGGAGGTGAGAGCAAAAGTATGGTGACAGGACCAGGTCCCTGCTCCTCCTGATCATGGTGTCCCTGTGAAACCAGGGAGATTCTGGGCTAGCCTGGGCAGGGGGTGTTGTTGCTTAAATGAATCCTTGTTCTCCTCCTTGCCAGGATGAGGTCCTTAAGGAGACCGTATCTCAGCGCCCTGGAGCCACAGTCCCCACTGACTTTGCCATCTTTCCTTCATCAGCCTTCCTTAGGGTAAGAGGGAGAATGAGGAGAATTGAGGCCTCAGGTGGGTCCTTCCCTCTTCTCCAGAATATGAAGCAGCCTTTGGGGGCTCAGGTCAAACAACTGCACATCCTGAGTTAACTGGCCAAGTCTTACTCGTAAGCAACTCAGATGTGCTTGCAGTGCTTCCAGAAATCCCAGTATTTTAGCAGTTGAACATCTTCTATGACTTTTGACACCTGGAGAGGCTCAGAGCTCTCTTGACAGACTCTGTACCCCAATCCTGATTTGGAATATGTAGTCACCATAGTCTAGGAGCCCCAAAGTCTGTCTCTCATGGGGGCTGCCTTTGTCCCAGTGCTCAGGGTCCCTGTCAGTGGCACACAGCTCAGGTGAACCTCTGACCTGGGGACCTCTTCCCCTTGCCAATTCCCAGGCCAAGGAGGAGCAGCAAGACGACACGGTCTACATGGGCAAAGTGACCTTCTCGTGCGCAGCTGGCCTTGGACAGCGACACCGGCTGGTGCTGACCCAGGAGCAGCTGCACCAGCTTCATGGTCGCCTCATCTCCTAAGTGCTCCTTCCACCCCATGCACTTCTACCCTCCGCCCTCCTGGTGCCACTCCACCTGACGCACAGCCTCCGCAGCTAGTCCCCATTGTAGAACTGTGTGCACAGCTGTTCCTGCCCTGTTCAGCTTTATTTCCACCTGTCAGTGCCCTGCCCCTGCCCCTTGATTTGGGTTCCCCTATTTCCATTCCTTGGCCTCTGCCAGGATTTGCTGTTCAGCTGCTCCCTCCTTCCTGAGGGGCCTCAGGGCATGTGGGGGGTAGGCTGAGACCCCACCACCAAAGGTTCAGTGAGGTTCCCCTGATAGAGGACTTCACCCCTTGATTAAAGCAACTTCTGCTTCAGTGCTTTCTGTGTGGTGTTGGCAGTGGGACTTGGGCCTTTTGGTTCAGAGCAGAAGTGGAGGAGAAGGGATGCTGAGGAGGCTTTGGCTGTGCCAGATATGAAGGTCCCTCTCTGTAGAGACCAGTGGAACGGCATGCCCCTAACACTCATGTGCACGGAGTTACTGTGAACAAGGGGAAAAGGGCTAGACCAGGGGCTTAGCACCCAAGTTCTTTATGGAGTTAGGGGAGCTAGGACTTAGGGTCAGCCACCCTACCTCCATGCATCTGTCAGCCAGTTCCCACTCACAGCAGAGGGACCTTTCCAGAATGCAAACTGGGCCATATTATTCCCTGCTTTAAATCCTGAAATGGTTCTTCCAACTAAAATTTCTAATTTAAATAAAACCCTGAAGTCGTTTCTCTAAGTATCTAGAGATACTTTAAATTCACTAGAAGTGCACACAAGGCCATCTGTGTTCTGGGTCTTACCCACCTCTCCAGCCTCTCACGGGGCTACTTGTCCACGTGTGCCTTGTTGTCTTCCCTTAGTGAATCCCTGCAGTTGCTTTGGCGCCCTGTGCTCTCTCAGGCTCCTTTCCGCTGCCCAGAATGCCGGCCATCTCCTGCCCTCTGCTCCCCTGCGTGCCCCACCCCTCCTCAGCTGACATCCTGTTCATTTATTAAGACAGCCCTGGCATTGCCACCTTAGGAAATCTCCAATTCTGTGGCCTCTTGGGTGCTCCCGTACCGGAGGGAGTAGAGAATGTGAACGTTTTTTCCCAGGTGTGCTTGGATTTAGTGGCTTTGTTCTTTGACAGGGTTTCTAACCTTTGGTTTGCTTTCTCAATGGCAGAATGGGAAGAATGATGCCTCCCAGGGTTGCCGTGAAGGCTAAAAGAAAGAACGCATGCTGGCTTCCAGCACCGTGGCCCGTGCCGGGCAGGCCTGTTTCCCTTCCCAGTGCCTGCACCCACAACACTGCTTCATACCGGGAAGCATCTCTAGCCATTGCAGTCATCAGTTAACCCTTTGGTTACCCACCGTAGACAGAGTGAGAGTTCCTAGAGGTTGTCTTTTATCTGGGCATCCCCCAAAACACAGGGAGAAGAGCACATGTTTGGGAAGGAGAGCTGTGAACTTCATTTTGGAAATGGATATGAGGTGCTTGGAAGAATGTATGAGTGCAGATGGCCCTGGGCAGTTGGAGCTGAGGTCTGGAGCTTAGCAGAGAAGTCTGGATTGGAGATACAGTTTCGGGGATGAGTTGTGTCAGTGGTGGTTGGTTTGGATGAGGTATAGGATGAGCATGAGGTTTAGTCCAGGTCACTTAGAGAACTGAACCAGAGGCAAAGCCAAAGTGTAATGCTTTATAGTAACTGCAGTCCCAAAGCACTGTGACTGAGGAAGAGGGCCGGAAACTAGGCAGGGAAGGAGAAGAAACAAGTTTTGTTTTAATGAGTTGCCCACTGCTTCGCCAAAGCACAGCTAGCCACCTACCCACATGGGCTGTCTCTGGGGAGACCGTTCACAAGCATGGTACCTGGCTGCAACATTACACAGGGGTTGATGGAGGGGAGGAGAGCAGATTCGCCTGTTCTCCCTCTTGTCTTCTGTCTTCTGTGGTCCGGTTTGCCCTATGAGGTGTTGCTCTTCCTCACTTGCTGGGATTGTATGACTTGGCCACGGGAAAAGCCAGATCCCATGCCCTGTAGTCCCCCAGGTCCTGAAGGAGTACAGTGAACAGAAGGCCACTGGCCTGCAGGACTTGGTCAGGGCAGAGCAAGCGACTGATGGCTTGGAAATCAGGTGAGGCCACAAGTCACCTGAGGAGAGTGTCTAGGCAGAGGGAGGGCAGAGCCCTGGGCAGTTCTGAGTATTGAAGAGCCTGCTGTAGAGCCCAGGGCAACATTCACTGGAGCAGAGGCCCCCAGAGGAAATGTCAGGGCCAAGGAGGAGAGATTGAGGAGAGGTAGTCAACAGCCTCTAATACAGCTCAGAGGCAATGTGTCTGCGTTCTAGAAAGTTGCATCTGATTCTCAGATGCCTGGTGAGCTGAGCAGTCTCAGTGGGTTAGAGGGAGTAGGAACTGGGTCATGGTGGCAAGAAGGGGGGGAGAGCAGCATGTGTGTACTGTGTCCCAATGTTCAGTCAATGTTCAATTGTGGAAGCTGGCCAGCAGATGGCAGACCGCTGACACAAGCATCATTGCCTGTGAATAGTGATGGGAGCTGCTTATGGGGCCCACGAGGGTTCGGGAAACTGGGATGTGATGATGGGGGGAGAGAGGCCTAGTGAGGCACTCGGTACAAGGATTGGGGAGAGCATGGGAATGGCCTCCTTTGGTCCATCCACCCAGCTGACAGCTGTGACGTGAGAACCAAGCAGACTGGCTAGCCATTGGCAGGGGCATGGTATGAGCAGCCTCAATCTTGTCAACTAGAAATCTCTTTTTGGTGTTCTTGGGCAGATTCTCAAGGTCAATGGCACTTTCCCCAATATGGTGGCAGCTTTGTGAAGTAAGAATAAGGCTCATACTCCAGCTCTTCCATTTATAAGCTGTGGGAATTTGGGCAAGTTCCTAATCTTGTCCTCAATTTCTGTGTCTGTACTGGGGCTAATCGCACCTTTCTCAGGTGTATCCCTTCCGGAGGTAATCTTCAGGGCAAGAGCAAGTGAAATAGCATGCTTCACCCAGGTACTCAATAAAAAAAGATACTTGGGAGGGGCTGATACTGAACAAATGGAATGACATATAAGCAGTCATGTTCCGAAGACATAGATTTATGATGCAAATAATAAATTTTGGGTCCCAAAGGAGAGGCAGTCCTTGGTGCCCAGCTTTCGGCTTGTTTTTTGGGCAGTTACCATCTTACTCGCTACCGTCCAGGCACTATTTCCTCTTCTTAGTGGGCCAAGCCTTAGGGAGAGTCAAAGTCACCCCAGTTGAATTTGCTTGCTTAGTTCCCATTTTTTGTGCTACCTGATGGTGGGGAACAGGAGTGGAGGCAGTATGGAGACTTGAATCTCTGTTGGCTCACCCTGGGAAACGTGCCAGGCCCCAGAGCCCATCGTGCCCTACCCAGCCCTGGGGCTGAAAGCAAACAAAACTTCTTAGGATGGAATACCTTGACCCCTGGCAGAGAGGCCTAGGGGCACCTAGAGAACATGGGCTCTGAGGGTAAGGGCTCCTCCTGCCTCCCTGTGGGTGTACGCTCCATGTAGCCCTCTCCTTGAGGTATATTGAGAAACCTGTCACTCATCCAGGCTGCTTTCATCTCTACCACGTATGCCAGCTGGAACGGGCACTGCTGCTCCCGGGGACGCAGGGTGGCTACTGCTGACGTGCGCAAAGGGCCAGCCTGGCATGTTTGACCTCCATTCCTCTCCGGAAGCCTGGGGAGTTGGGGAGTGAGACCTGGACTCATCTTGCTCAAATAATGTGTCAGAGTAAATATATGTCTGTCACCCTATGTTTCGTTCTGTTACTTTTTATCATGGGAAATTTCAACATTCAAATGAGGAGAGTAGGATGTAAAGAATCTCCATTTGCCTAAATCTACCATTTCATGACTGATCGTGTTTCCCCACACCCTTTTGCTCTCCTTTCCTTCCAGATTATTTTGAAGCAGATCCCAGCCATCATCTTCTCATTTCATTTCAAAGTATTTTAGGATCCCTAAAAGATAGTACTCTTATAGAAAACTATAATACCATTATCCCATCTAAAAAATTTAATCCATCAAAGATCCAGTGTTCAAATTTCCCTGATTGTCTCATAAATGTTTTGTTTTATAGTATGTGTATTGGGGTAAGTTTCAAGGGAAAGACAATACACCACAAATAGTTGTCTCTTGAGTCCCATTTTCTAAGTTACCACTATTGCACCAATACAACATATGCTTTATATCTGTATGTCTTAAACTTCATTTTTTTAATAAAAGATTTTATTTATTTATTTGACAGATCACAAGTAGGCAGAGCAGCAGCCAGAGTGGGGGGGGGGGGAGCAGGCTCCCCGCTGAGCAAAGAGCTCGACGTGGGGGCTCGATCCCAGGACCGTGAGATCATGACCTGAGCCAAAGGCAGAGGTTTAACCCACTGAGCCACCCAGGCGCCCCCTTAAACTTCATTTTTAATGTGTCAGTCAATATGTACATATATATTACATATATGTACACACACACATACAAGATCATCTTGAGAATACAATAAATACAATGTGGAGGAAGATTGAGAACATAGGCTCCCAGTTCTTAGTCACCAATGGTTGTAGTGATTTTCCTTTCAGTGTTTTGCATTTAAAACTTTAATTTAAAGATGTCCTGCCATGGCTCTGTGACCATAGACCTGTTGGAGGGGGAGTACAATGAAAAAAAAAAAAGGACCCAAAGTTAGGAAGAGATAAAGGAGGGAAATCAAGAGAGAATATATTTTGAAACTAAATGTAAGAATTTCCTTCATTCAGATTGCAAGCATCAGTCTTTGCCTGGGTTGTGATAGCAAGATACCATACACTGGGTGGCTTATCAACAACAAAAATTGATTTCTTACAGTTCTGGAAGCTGGAATTCTGAGATCAGGGTGCCAGCATGGTCGTATTCTGGAGAGGGTGCTCTTCTGGTCGCAGGCAGCTGACATCTTGGATCCTCACATGGCAGAAAGAGAGTAAGCAAGCTCTCGGGCCTCTTGGAAGTGGACTAGTCCCATTCATGAGGCTCCACACTCATGACCTAATCACCCCCCACAGGCCCTACCTCCAGATACCATCACATTAAGGATTAGATTGCAACATGAATTTTGAGGTACACATAATTTCAGTCCATAACAGCATCCAAGTAAGTGCTAAGAAATTATATGCTCTAACTTCTGCCTCAAAGTTGCCCATTAATTAAACAAATTGATAGGGCCCCTTCACCTGTGAAGGAGCAGTCTCCTCATAGCACTGTACACGGAAAGGTGGGCTAGGGAGAAGGGAAAGTGGTGGGAAAGCAACCTGTTTTTGAGGTTCTCTAGGTGCTGGGTACTAGAGCCTTCACTTTCGGAAGACTCAGTTAGCTGGAGTTATGACCCTTAATAAATGATGATATAACACATTTCTACTGAAGAACTTGAAGACTGACAGAAAGGGGCCAGATACCCTGGCAGCATGGCAACATGGATATTCATCATGAGCTAAGTGGTTTCAATCTCTCTGCTCCACAGATCAGGTTAGAAGTTCTAAACCTGCCAATGATTAAACACTGGGGTGAATACCAAGTAAAACTTTGCTTCACGTGGAGCAACAGGGTGGAGCTACAAGGAAACTAATACTGCTCTAGAATATAACGAAGAGCAGCCCCTTGAACTTCCTTCATCCAAGCCATAGCTACAGGCCAAAGGTGTGCTTCTCAGCCAACAGAAAAGAATAGTGGAGATGCCATCTACACAACACTTTCCCACATGAACGCAGGAGAGGGGATGGAGCTGCAGTCAGCATGGATGCAGGGAAGTGAGGCATAGAACAGTGCCCAAGGAAGACAACTTTCTCCATCCCTATCCCTGCCCAGATTCTGAATTATAGACACCCAGGCTAGTCCATCCACTTTCAGAGAATTAGCTCAGGGGAGAAGTACAAGGATTTCTTGTCCCCTGAAATTGCTAAACAAGACTTCACAAAGAGGTGCCCAAGGATCATGAGATGACTGAAATAAATTGAACTTAAAAGGTGGAGAAGAATTTTACAGACGTTAGAGATCATTTCTCCCTGGCCTGCTGAACCTTTCACAGTAAGCCACAGGTACAATAAGCCCCACTACTCCCGCCATGTTAATGAGCAAGAGACGGCAGATACACAGCAAGTAACATCAAAGAGAATGACATAAACCAGCTTGCGTGCCCTGGGAAAGTTAAGGAAAATACTGTCCAGTAGTTTTAGTTCTGGGACAGAGAAGGGGTTTCCAACTTAAAGATTTGTATCCCCAGGGTCATGGGTCATTTCATTTTAATTTTTCATATTTTGTTCCTGGTATTAGTAGCTTGAGAAAGAAGAGTTTTCACAATTACTGATTTATAGTGTTTATAAATAGCCCACAAAACGCTCCATTTCACAAATAGTAACATTCCCTGATCTCTTTAAATGCAATTTAAATCCTTATTTTATAATAAGTGCAATAATAATGAAGTATAGCTAAAAATACACAAAGTATGTATATCCTGGGGCACCTGGGTGGTTCAGTGGGTTAAAGCCTCTGCCTTCGGCTCGGGTCATGATCTCAGGGTCCTGGGATTGAGCCCCACATCGGGTTCTCTGCTCAGTGGGGAGCCTGCTTCCTCCTCTCTCTCTGTGCCTGCCTCTCTGCTTACTTGTGATCTCTCTCTGTCAAATAAATAAATAAAATCTTTAAAAAAAACCTAATCATCATAGCTATGTTTTAAAAAAAATAATAAAATATGTATATCCTGATCTACAGGAAGGTGAGGAAGTGGTTTCTATAGCCATATTTGATTTTAAGTACGCATTTCCACAATGAACAAGAACTAACAAATATGTTAACAAAACACTACCCCAAATGCTTATTCTGCCATCAGCTCTTTAAGCAATTCCATTCCAACTACTACTAAAAGCATGTATTTTAGATGCTTTAATCTGATCCAGGAGAATGAGTTCTACGACTTGACATCTAGTATATATAAGCCCCAAAATTTTTAAGTCAAAAATCTTTCAACACAAGCATTCATGTGAAATTTAGTTTCTCCGAAAAATCACTCATTATCTAAAGAAAAGAATAGAGCAAATTATCTTTTAAAGAATTATTTATTTATTTTTAAAGTTTCTTTTCCATGTTCCAGAATTCACTGTTTATGCACCACACCCAGTGCTCCATGCAATACGTGCCCTCCATAATACCCACCACCAGACTCACCCAATCCCCCACCCTCCTTCCCTCTAAAACCCTCAGTTTGTTTCTCAGAGTCCACAGTCTCTCATGGTTCATCTCCCCCTCCGATTTTCCCCAACTCTCTTCTCCTCTCCATCTCCCCATGTCCTCCATGCAAATTATCTTCTAAGACATAAACATTCTTACAAAAGACTACATTCCAATATCAACTTCTACTTAACAAAAACACAAACCAGTTCACTATCTTTATTTTTCAGTTTTTATTTAAATTCCAGTTAACATACAGTGTGATATTAGTTGCAGGTATACAATATAATGATTGAACAGTTCATTATCTTTAATAATCTGCTAGATTACTGTTGTCTAGAAACTTCAAAATACATGAAACACATATTTAAGGTATCACAGTGTCAAAAGTGACATTTAGGTTTCACATTTTAAACAACTGTAGTAGAAGCTTACAATGGCACAAAGACACCTAATACAAGTACTTCTTCATCATTTAGAGTCAAAAGTCAGAAGGAACTGTGTTTTGCAAAATAATTTAACTTTTGTGTGGTCATTGAAACCCAATAAGTAATTCAAGTATGGTAATATCAAAGCAGGCAGTTAAGATCTCAAATCTCACTCTAAAATTGAAGACATGAAAATTTTGTTCATCTTTCAATTACATGAAACTTACTGCAGAAAATATCAGTTACTATCAATGGTTGCCCCACAAGATAATGAAGCTTCAGAAATTAGAAAAAGTGTCAAGATCCATAGTAGACTTCATCAAATTCTTTTCCAGACTGTTTCACAGTAATCACAGTAATCACAAGTAACCTTAGCAAACTTCCTGGATCCTTTCAAATCAAGAAGATAAAATCTTCAGCTTACACTTGACCTTGTCTTTCTTTTCTTTTCTTTTCTTTTTTTTTTTTAAAGATTTTATTTATTTATTTGACACAGAGAGAGAGATCACAAGTAGGCAGAGAGGCAGGCAGGGAGAGGGGGGAAGCAGGCTCCCCACTGGGCAGAGAGCCCAATGCGGGGCTCTATCGCAGGACCCTGAGATCATGACCTGAGCCAAAGGTAGAGGCTTAACCAACTGAGCCACCCCAGGTGCCCCTTGACCTTGTCTTTCAATTGACATTGCCTTGTGCATCATTTCAGGGATGAACTCTATGACAAAGTCTTCAAGAATACCCCCTGGCTCTGTGTGAGTATTCTGACCATCCCCCAAACAGATATATATCGGAAGTGTTTAGAAAAAGTCTTTTCTGCACCTTGTCCATTTTCTTCATCAAAGATGGGGTTTTCTTCCCCATCTTCTCAAGGTCATTTTTATTCTTCGAGTCCATTCTTTTTTTTTTTTTTTTTTTTTAAAGAATTTATTTATTTATTTGAAAGGCAGAGATCACAAGGAGGCAGAGAGGCAGGCAGAGAGAGAGAGGGAAGCAGGCTCCCTGCTGAGCAGAGAACCCGATGCAGGACTCTATCCCAGGACCCCGAGATCATGACCTGAGCCGAAGGCAGCAGCTTAACCCACTGAGCCACCCAGGTGCCCTTCGAGTCCATTCTTGATGTTCTGCCGAGGCTATTCAGTCCTG